GTGGACCAGAAAATTCAGTTCCTCTGGTCCTGTCTGAGCCTCGCTGACTTACACTACTGAAATCTCAGTTTCTGAGAATATATATATATAACATTTATTTAAAAATATTAATGTACTTAATTTTATCTTGTGCAAGGACAATTCTATCTTCCAGTAGTAAAAGTGGAACTGCAAATATGAGTTGGCTTAGCTGGGCTAGAGTGGAGAGAAATTTCTTATTCTATTGCATTACTCAGAAACTATCAATTAGTGAATCCTCATTAATGAACTGCAGAAGGCTCTATTCTGCCCCACAGTGAGAAGCATTCAGACAGGGACATCTTAATTTCAGGCAGCATTTCACAGAATCACAGAATAATTAAGGCTGGAAAAGACCTCTGAGATCAGCGTGTCCAACCTATGAGAACAGGATTTAGAATTCTTTTTTTTACACTGGAGGACACATTTTTCTTTTCTTTTCAAGAATACAATACATTTTAAAAGGTAATGCAATGCAAGTCAGAATACTAGGATCACCCTCTCCGACTGGATAAATGAGATTATTAAAGAGAAAAACGCAAAAATAATGTATTCTTTCATTGAGCCATGAGTAAGAACCTGTTAAAATTAGGAAGTTAGAGGGTTGTGAACTCACATGGGGCTGGTGACTGCTGCCAATACCCAGGACGTGCTGTTCACTGACAAAGGTTCCAAGGAAACCCTGCTGGAGCACGCAGCCACTTTAGAGGGAACTGTTCTTTTTAATGTATTGCTCTGCTTTGCAAGGTTTCTTTTCTTTATTATTTTATAACCTTTAGGCCATAAAATAATAAATTTTCAAAAAGTAAGAACTTTGCAAAACTATGCAATATATTCCAAACTTACCAAAGGGCTGGCTCCATGCTCCAGCAGCTTTCCTAAGTAGCTCTGACCTCACAGAATGAGGCATTCTGGGGAGCAGGCCAGCACAGCATCTAAGCACCTACAACGGGGATAAAAGGTTAGTTTTTCTTTCATTCCTTAGTCAATGCCTCCTTTGGTCTAGTTAATAAAGGGATTAAAACATTCTTGTCATTTAACCACACCCAGCACAGGAGGTTTGCTCTCTCTTCCTGCTGGGCTCCTGAAATGAAGAGTTCCTATTTAACTCTCACAACCCCTAACTGATCAAAAATTGAAGATTTAACTTCATTTCCATCTGCCATTAGAAATATTAATTTAGTTAATGGGAGTGGTGACAGACAATTATAACTTTATAGCAGAATTCTCTGAGATATCAATCTGGGCTGAAATGTTGGGGAGGATAATTTGGATATGCTGAACTTCAAAGGATAAAATGCAAGGTTACAAACTTTTATATTATGAAGAGCAAAGTCTTAATAAAGTCAAGGATGTATTTTTTGCTATCACATCAAATAACTCAAATTTCTAAAATAGGAATGAAATGGAAATTCAATTTGTAAGTGGAATTAATGAAGCTGTATCTGACGCCAGCTTTCTCCAAATGACAGTTGCAATCCTAGCTGCCTGCAATTGTTCTGGTTTAAAAGGAACAGGAGATCAGTGGCAAAGAAGAGACTGACACAATTGTTCTTAAGACTAGAGTACTTCTCCCCTCATCTCAGTTCCTTCAACTCCCTCCTGTCCTTTCTCTTCTTTGAAAATGGGATCAAATTTTCTCTTCCTTCTATAAGCTAGAGGGGCACAGACACCGATTGCTTTCTCCAGAGGATTGCTGCCTTAATTCCCCTGTCGATCATAAACAATCTTCTCCTCCTGAAAGGCTGAATACTATCAGTATTGGGAAGGCCCTAAGGGTAGCAAACACTTACTTGTTGCAAAAATGGCTCTGAAAGAAACAAAAATTTCTGCATTCAGGAGACTCACGGGCACCAGAAATTACTTGGGTTTTGGACAGGTCAATGTTTATCTGTGTTATGTGGCTCTATCATGATATTCCATAAAAGTTATTCATGGATGCTCTATGTTCCAACATTATCCCATACAATAATACCTTCCTCAGCTGAACTGGCTCATGATGCTGTGCAGTCCTTCCCTGGTGTCATTGAATGCACCTTGGCACATTTGACTGAGCCCTCAGCAGTGCTGACATTAGGGCATTCTGAACATGTAAGCCTATATAAGAAATATTCAACTAACGGTAAAAAAATTAACATTTTAAACATTTAACTTAAAACAGTGTGGTTTAATTAAAATCTCATACTTTCTGAAGGTTTTTTTGCAGCCTCAATATTTTTACTTTTCTCTCGGGGAAACAAGAGGCTGAAAAGTAAAAGGTTTTTCAAAAACAAGACAACTCTAACCCCTATGTAAAATCTCAAATAGTATTAGGCCAAGTACAGCTTCAATCAAGAGAAACTGATCAAGAATACTGCTATTCTTTAGCTTACTTAATATTTAATTACAAATATTTCAAAAGGGGAACAAAACAGGCAGTTAGCCTCCTTTTAAATAAACAGTAATTGCTGAAAACACATTGTTGCAGTTGCTATCAAATAATACATCCTTCAGGTAATTAGTAAATTGGTATAAAGTTTATCCAGAGTAATTTTATTTCCCTGAATTATCTTCATTTTAGGAACTACAAACAGCAGTAGTGGTAACACCAAAGAACTTTGCATGGAGGGAGCAAAGATGTCAGACAACTGCGACTTCAAGACACCTTCATAAAAATGGGCTCCAATAATGCTCCCATAGTTCTCCAAAGATGTTACTGCGACTTCAAGATACCTTCATAAAAAGGGGCTCCAATAATGCTCCCATAGTTCTCTCTCTTTGTCTCTGCATCAACTCAGCTAATTTAAAAAAAGTAAATCGATGGACCTGCTTTCAGTGCTGAACTGTAACTTCCCTGGAGTACAGAGACTGACAGAACTGTTAAATTTTTAAACTTATGACAAAAATAAAAGCTTACTGCGACTTCAAGATACCTTCATAAAAAGGGGCTCCAATAATGCTCCCATAGTTCTCTCTCTTTGTCTCTGCATCAACTCAGCTAATTTAAAAAAAGTAAATCGATGGACCTGCTTTCAGTGCTGAACTGTAACTTCCCTGGAGTACAGAGACTGACAGAACTGTTAAATTTTTAAACTTATGACAAAAATAAAAGCTAATTCATATTTCACTATAAATGTTTTTTTTTCTGATAACACTGCTACTGCCACACAAGTACCTTCAAGAAAATACACTTCTGCAAAAATCATATCCCTAAGTCCCACAAATTGATAAATCCCCCAATATCTACTCTGGCTTTCAGATTAGAGAATGAAAAAGAGAACACCAGGAAACCACTTCCTTAAGGTAATATTGCTAAAGCACTGCTTTCATCAAAAAGAGCAAGGCAGACTGTGCAGAGACAGCAGTTAAACAGCAGGAGGTCAATCAGCAGCCGTGTTGATGCTCTGTACTTCTGGCTAAATACCTGTGGTCATGCCCTGCTCAAACAAAATCTATTCTCTCTACAGCACTCCCTATATTGCTTCCAGCAATACCCATTGCCTATGGCCATCCCAGAGGTACTGTCTGTTCTTCCCATCCTTTCATCACTCACATCATCCAGTTTGTTGTGTTATAGTTCAATGGAAATGGTGTTTCAAAAGAGGTTGAGGAGAAGCCTCACCTGCAGAGGCACCAGAGGACAAACCCAAGTCCACAGTAGGGGTCCAAGCAGATCGCCACTTCTCGGGAGGGATAAAGCTCACACTGCAGCTTAATAGAACGACAAAAGGCACTAGTGGCTGCATGAGACATCTGAAAGACAACAGCAAAGTCATTAAAATCATCAACTATGTCGCTCGGAAGGTTCATTCCCAGACTGCGCCAAGTGCTTACATCAGTTGTGCGATAAAAAGAGCAAATAAATACTGACTTTATGCTCAGTGTAAGCACACATGTAATCTACATCTAAGAAAATATAATTTGCCTTCAAAAGGGCATCCAAATAACCATGAAAGGGGAGAGGAGACAGAATGAAAGATAAGTTTTAAGTGATTGAGGAAAAAAAGCTGTGAGTGGTTTAAAGATGTGCTCCAAGCTGTATGCAAAGCTAATGATAACATGCTAAACTTTCTGGAAAAACAAAGGAATGAATGACTGCAGGCCCTGAATGAAACATTTTGTTGATCATCAGTAACATATTTCTAAGTACATATTTCTTAATAAAATAAATAAAAAATGCCAATGCACTTTTTAAATTGAGGAGGATTTCGCCTGCAGAATGGTACTAAAGACCTAATCATTCAGCAATTAAACTTAGCAAAGTTTCTGTAAAATGTCTTAATGTTATCCAGCTCCTAATTGAGAAACAGCCTCAACATCTTGGCAAGAAAGCTCTCAGAGTTTCCAGCTCCTAATTGAGAAACAGCCTCTTAACATCTTGGCAAGAAAGCTCTCAGAGTTTAAACAAGTAGAAAGCAGAAATTAAAAAAAAAATAATCAAAAGGAAATTCTTCTGATTTTTTAGTGTTAGGATGCTTCCCACACTCACACATCCTGGCTTAGAAGTTTTAACTACAATAGAAACAGAAAAATATCATTTAATTTTTTGTCCTCTCTATTAGTATCAAGAAAGCCACCTGTGTAAGAAATAGAGTCTGGAGAGGATTTAACTTACCTAACCTTTGATCTCTGCCACACAGGGAGCTTGTTGCCTTACTGCTGGAGTCAATGGAGGGGAACAGGCACTTGGAAGGTAAAATGTGTTTGATCTTAAAGTAAACAGGAGAATAAAGGTCCAGAAGTGACTTTTTCTCCATTGCCAATGACAGCCATAAGTGAGGCTGGATGTGTTCCAAGTGATGCAAAAGGACCAGCTCAGAATAGGTGTCTGCATGGTGATCATCTTGCAGTTTGCAGAGATTAATTCTACTCTAGCTGAATCAAGACCACTTTTCCCCACAGGATTAAACTGAACTCTGTTGATACAGAACTGGTGTTATTTTGTGAATTTTCACACCATACTGTGTGTAAGCTATTGAGAAAGTTGAGAGCAAACATAAGTGGCATGTACTACTTTCAAACTGATTGCAAAACATTCATCAACTTTTCAGAAGCCACAGGAGTTATTTAGTCATTTTATAAATTTAGCACCACTCCACTATGAATATAAACCTTGTGGCCTCTTCTGATCCTTTTATAATTAATTAATCACTAGTGATGATATAGTAGATAGTAACTGTTTACACAAATCTGCTAAGTCAGTGATCTGGAGGTTCTATGACCCATATATTAGAAGGTAATCAAGAATTGCTTGATGGATTAATCTCTATTTCCCTCTAGCCACATTAAGAAAGGTTCATTGACTTGCCCTGCCCTTGAATATCTTTGAAGTTTTCCAAATACTCATGTTGCATAGTTAGCAGCCATTTCTGCAAGTCTGATAAGGTGGAATTCAAACTAGATTTAATATAGATGGCTCCATCTGAAACAATCATTTTAGGCTCCCTTTAGAAGAAATGAAGACATATGTGGCATTCACTCCATTCAATAACAGATGTTACAGATAAGTCAGATAAATTACACCCTGAAAGTCACTGCTTCTCTCTGTTGGTTATTGAGGAGCCCAATGACTGCTCTGCATCTGTAGGCAATGTAGCCATTCAAAGTTAGATGGGATGAATATTGCAGGAGTGTGCAGTATGTGACCATCAGCCACTCAACCACTTCACCATCAGTCAGCCTCGAGCTGGTCACTTCACCAGCTCTGTGCTTCAAATTCTTCATCTGAAAACTGGGGAAGTGCTGCTTTGTTTTGTTTATAAAGTATGCAGACAGCTGCTGAAAATAGATGGATGATACCAAAGTGTATGGGGAATTCAGTATAGGCTATAAGTGTGATACATCAGCAGAGATTGCTAAGTAATCATAATCCTTGGATATGCAACAGATAGAAGGAAGTAACAGGTAAAAATAGCAATGATTTTACCTCTGCTTGTGTGTTGGTGAAACCAATAGTGGGATAATACATAAGTTAGAAGATAGGAAAAATAGATTCGATGAGTTGTGGCTAGAGGATCGGAGAAAATGGCAGAATAGACTTAAAGAGCTCAAGATGTCTGAGCTTATCAAATAAGTCTATCAAGGAAATTTTGCTGCTTACTCTAGTATTGTACCAGGTGAATATAGCAGAGAAATCATCAGGTCTCTTAACTGCATGAAGAAGAGAATATTGAAAGCCAGTAGCTGAGTTGCAGTAAGGAGGGAACAATGAATGGGCACTGGAACAAGTAGAAAAAGGATGGCTGAGTCTCATCTCCTTCACAAAGCAGAAACATGAGATGCATAAGTGGAAAAATGCTTCAGGCAGACAGGCTATTGGGCTATCCATAGGGATACTGGAATGAAAATTTTTATTCTGAGGAGGAGAGGGGCTAAAAACCCACCACACACAGTCCTGTAGCAAGTACAGTAGAACTAATTTAATGCTAACGGAATGAAATAATGATTGCAAAGGAGGAAACACTTCAATTTCTAGGACCAAAAATCATGACGAGGTACAGATCAGGAGTGATGTCCCACCTGCCAGCCAGGGGTGATAGCAAGAAGGGCAGCTCAAAGAAGTCCCTACCTTTACCCCTGCTAGCATGCCAGTTGTGGAGACACTGAAGTCAAGGTAAGCAAGCGTTTCAGGGTTGGAGGGTTTGTAGATCTGCGCAGGTCGCTTCTTTGGCAAATCGTCTAATGAAAACAGAGAAAGAAGATGTATCTTACTCCCACGTACACAGCAGAGAGACCTCTGAGACCTGACCAATACAGGGATGAAGACCAAGCTCAGTACTCACCTGTATCTAGTACCGGAGGCCACGTTCTGATATCCACTGCTGCTGCTGCCTCCCGTGACCGCAACAACTTACATATTAATTGGGTAGTCATTAAGCAGGCAGAGCGGCTCACCTAGAAATTTGAGATAAATAATAACACAATGGGATACTAATTAATTCTCCCATGAAAATAGGCAAGACTGTGACTTATATTCTGCCCGAAAAGGACACAGGTGTATCAATCTTATGTTTTCTGATCAGGAGGTGGAAAGATGCACAAAAAATGCAGCTCACGAAGTTCACTGAGTTTTACAAATTACATGAAAACTGCACTTGGAGAAGTGTTGTAATGGAACTAAAGGTACCTTAATAGTGAGAATGTGACTTTTCCAGCACATTGTATCAGCTGTCACCCCGGAATGCCAGTACAGGAGACTGCATTCAAAACATTTCTTATGTGATGGTAATATATCTTGGTTTATAAACAATATTTTCACATAGACCAAAACTGTTCAAACATAAACCAAGACTGACATTTTATATGAATCATTTTACTATCTTAAGTCAATTTTTATGTTAGCCACATCTTTCCAACTCCTGCACTACTGACAAACCACTGGGGACTCTTCTGATACTGGCAAAAGTAGCTCCAGATCAGAAATTGTGCAAGTAGGGCTATGAAATGAAATGGTGAGCTTACTGCCAATGCCATCTGCACTGAATTTCAGATGACACATGCTGAAAGTATTCTCCTTTTAGATTTGTTATTTTCAAAAATTCAAAAGTAGCAACTACAAGAATACTTCTTACCGATTATAAAATTAATATATTTAAGGAAATATTCAGACAAACATAACCATGAACACTGTACAGAGGAAAAACTGAAAGGGCAATACCATTCTTCTTCTCCCTGAACTTTGAGAATCTGTGCAAATATTGCTTTTTTTTTTTCCTTTAAGGAAATTGAAACATTATCATTGCACGCTAAATTTCCAACGTTTAACCTAAGGAAGTTAGTAAATTTATGTACACTAAATGTCACCACTGAGCAGAAGGGATCAGCTTCTGTTTACAGTAATCTCATGGAAGTCAACTCAAGTCAGCAGATTGTATGCTGTCAAGCAGCATTGGTTCTGCTACACACCAAAGTCCTTAATCTTTGGGAGGAATACAACTCTTCAACCCACACCACGACTCACTTCAGTTACTGTTCTATAGACCATGCAAACCCACCCCCCATTTCATCACTTGTGCCATTTCAGGTGTCTGCTCACCTCCACTATCATCTTCACCGTGGGCAATGTGGTGGCTATGTTCTGGGGATGTGGAGGTCGCACTGTTATTGGCACACAGCCTGCGTAGAGGCAGCCGTAGAACGCGGCAATCAGGTCTATTCCTGCACGAGGAACACAACAAAAACCCTCCCCTGAAAATCAGATCATTTCATCACAGACACCGATGGCAGCAGAAATATTACTTGGAAGTGAACTCAGAAGGTTAAATGAGCGACTAAGCTCTTTAGCAGACTTCTTTTTCAGCCCCTTGTCAGTATTTGTTCAGCTTCACTGGTTCCTTTCAGTCGCACTGTTCAGAGCATTAAAAACCAAAGGCAACACACAAAACTGCAGCCAGATTCTCATCATTCAGGTGAGCTCTGCTTTGATCTTCAGGAAATAACCTGTTAAAAACACTCGATTTCTACAGTTTAATTATCTTCCTAAATTAACATATATAGACAAATGAGAGTCTGCAACAAGAGGGATGCCCCAGCAAAAGGACAAGGGAGGATGACTTCTGTTCCTATAACCTGCAGAAAGAACATCTGGAGGTCCTGCAAAATAGTGTCTTTGTCTGCAATTTTTAACCTCAGATATGCAGCTTTGACTTATCTCCTTAAAATTTTAGACTAAAAAAGGAAGTCATGATTTTGAAATCCTGATCTAACCTAAAATTAGGTGTTGTCCTATATAAATATTGACCAGAGGTGATGGATTGTGGACAACACCCTTCATGCTACCTAAGAAGGCTGAACAGACAACAGTATGAAGATCCCTTGAATATTGCTGTTTCATAGCTCCCTGGTGCTGTACATGGGCTGTGATGACAGTGGGGGCTGTTTTATTCCTTCAGTGGAAAAGGACCTGCAGTACAGGTAGGTGATTGTTCCTTCCATAAAATGTTTCATTCATGTGAAGTGAAATACAGAAAATAAAAATTGAAGTTTAAAACACTAGTCTTTTTTTGTGGAAAAGGTTTTCCCATATCAACCATTAAGAAATTACTTCTGTAAGTTACAAAGATGTAATCAGTATCTTGAGTTTTCCCATATTAACCATTAAGAAATTACTCCTGAAAGTTACAAAGATGTAATCAGTATCTTGCAGCCCTTACAACCCAAATATCACAATAGAGACCTTAAATCAGGCTGTTTATTTCACCAAAACACATGAAATGCTAAAGATAAAAGAGCAGCACTTGATCAGAAATAATTTCAGGCAAATGTCAAATATGGTACCAGTTAACACAAACTTAAAAGTCCTTATGCCAAAGGATGAAAATCAAAGCCACAGAGAGCTGGCTAGATTAAGGATCTATAGAGAAAATAGCAAATATAATTTTGTATTTCTTAGTAATTTGCTACTTATTCATCAAATTCCTACTCTAAAAAACCCCCATGTATTACTTCCTAGTTATTGTTGCTTTACCCTCATAAAATACAGCACTTCCAAGAGGGAATTCAGCAGGTGAATATAAGAACATCCATTCACCATCCAGCAGATGGAATATTTTCACTGAACTGTGTGCTCATAAAATAGTCTATATCCAGCAAATTAAAAGAAAAGCAGTAATTAAATTTTACTGCTCATAAGAGACAGTTTTTAAAAACCCAGGTTAATCTCAATCTGAACCCAAATAAACAGTATCTATACATATACACCAACAGAAATTCTTTTAAATATGTTTGACTAAGTACAAACGAATGTGCATCAGGCAAATATATATTCCACATGGTTTACACCACTGATGCAGCACTAAGGATCTTAATAAACTTTTGGGAGTACCAAGATACCACTTGACATCTTTTTACCTGGTGGGTAAACCAAAGCCACATGGTCTCCATCTTGTAAATGTCCCCTTTCCATCAACATGACAGCTATCTTCTCAGCTCGTTTATGCAGCTGGACACATGTTAGTGAGTTGGCTATTGTTCCCTGCACAGGAAGAAAGATCAATGTCACAAAAGATAATGCAGTGTACTGAAATACTATTTGCTTCTGCACCTTAGAAGTTACAGGATGAGGTGCAGCCACAGTTTGTCACGCAATCAATTCAAATATGGAAACACTCAGCCTCAGGCCAAGCAGTAGTTGGAAGGAAAAAAGATGTTTGTATAGCAGAGGAACGTTCTCTCTTCCTTTCTCTGTACCTTCTGCCCTCAGCAGTGTTTTCACTAACATCCTGCCCATGTAAGCTGTACTTCCCTTGCTCCATCGGCAGGATTCCTGCTACAGCCAGGAAAGTGCCTTTATGGTCTCTGCAGCAAGCTGGAGCATCTGTGGAGAGCAATCCTGAAATTGCATTTTCTTGTCTGCACACTGGAGTAGAGCCAAATGGCACAGCAGAAATACTTTAAAGACAAGGGACAAAAGACACAGGAGAAAACAATACTTTGTGATGGGGAAAATAATTAGTCTGGAGCAAAAGCTGAGCACTTATAATGCATATAAATGGAATAGATAAGAAAAGCATTTGAGCAACTGGTCAGCATGGAAAATAAAGGGAAATGACAACATGCTAGAGACCTTGGCTTTTGGAAGCACTTCAAACAGCACTAACCCCAAATTACCAAACAGATACAGTGTTTGAAAGGGAATGAGTGTTACCACTCTTACATTTCCTAAATATAGGTATGTGGGGATATATGGACACACACAAATAGACATTTAGAGAAATATATACATCTGTATCATAAAACTCACTACCACTGCCAACACCTCAGAAGTCTAAAAATGAATGTACAGGACAGACTGGTTGCACCTAGAGCTGGTTAGGCCAGGTCTGGGCTAAGAGACAGGGACAGGACAGTATGGGAAGGGTTGCATCTTGGCTTGTGCACTTTTTCTGTGGAAAAAGGAGGATTTCAATCTTCAGTACTGCTATGATGGCACCTATCATGAGCCCTAAGTTCACTGAAAAATAGTGAGTTGGGGGGGAAAAAAGGTAAAAATATGCACACAAGCACCTGCTCTAAAATAGAACAATGTGCAATGCAATAAAAAATATTATATCACTTTATATTACA